CGGGGCTCTGTTTACCCTTGCAAATACCTGATGGTTATCGCTGGCAGGGGACGGGAGCCGGCCCCGACGGAGCCACCCGAGCAAGCCGGGACACGCGGGGCGCTGCCACCCGCCGCCCCCGGCGGGGGGGCGGGCATCCCGGCTCGCCCGAAACCCTTTCTTGCTCCTTTCTCTCTGTTCCAGATCTCCGCAGGGGTTAGGGCAGGAAAGACGGGAGGACGAGGAGGGGGGGATGCTGGCTAAACCACGGGGGAGAGCTCGGCTGCCGGCTTCCCTGGTGCCGTGGCAGAAGTTCACGTCTCCGTTTACCCCGTGGGCTCCGGGGAGAGGACAGAGCATCCGGGGGAGGGGGAGGCGTTGACCTTGAGCTTTGAAACACGTGTTGGCACCTGAGCGACCGACCCTGCAGTGACAGGGGGTCCCAGGCTGGCCCCGTCTAGCAGGTGGCTTCTCCTTGGGCACAAAAGGCGTTTCCAGTGCCAGGATTTCTCCTATTTCGTGGGGAGATCGGCGGATATTTTCTAAAAATTGGGTGGTCTCCCGTCCCACTTTTTTTTGTTTCCCCCGCCCCAGGGAGTTCAAATCACTTCCAGCTTCTTAGCTGGCACCTAATCATGTGGCAACCGAGATGTAGGAAGCCCCGTCACCTGCCCAAAATGATGAGGACGCGGAGGGAGATCTCCTCCACCTTGTGAAGATCCATCCAAACGACTGCTCTTCCAGCCCACACGTTTTTCTCTGGGTTTCTTTTTAACCAGGTAGGGTTTTCCTTGTCGTTTTGTTCTTCCAGTGATTTCTACAGAGGCCACATTTTGTTTTCCGCCCTAGGTATCAGAAATCCCTTTGGATCCTGAAGAGCCATCACCTTGTTTTCTTTCCTCTCCCTTTTCCCTCAAGTTGCCGGTCACCTGCCGTTCCCAAAAAATTCCCTGGCTTGCAGAGATGCTCCCTCACCTCAGAAAGCGAAACAGTCCCTTTGGGTACTCAGAAAGGGAAAGAGGCATCTTGCTATGAGCACACAGGTTTGAATTATTAGGCTGTAAATTTCGTACCGTGATAAAAGCTTCAGCTGTGTTGTTCAATATTAAAGTTTTTGGCAATAGCATCACTTGTTTTTTAACTTCCTTTCACCCCCGCCTCGGACCTACATTCCCCTGCCACAGATTTCTGAGAAAATCTTTCATGTTTTGTTTTAATATCGCATATATACGTTTCAGGTTTCTGAGCTGGTATACAAATAAGAACGGACATATGGCAGGAACATTTGATGTTTGCAAACGGGCAGAAGATACTTGCTAACCGATTTCCGCTGTGGAGTTATATGGGATTCTCTTTTTATATATAGGCAACTTTTATGTCAGCTGGGATATTCTTGCTCACAGTTTTTAAGGTTTCGATCCTGTGGTTATTGTTAAAAAAGTAGTGCAATCCATCACACACACAAACCCCCGATACATGCAACTTAATCTTAATTCTTTGACAGAGGTACTTGTATATATAACGTCGTCTTCCTGGCTTAAGTGGATTTTTTTTTTTCCTTTCACCGTGGTCTTGCCATCCTAGCAAAGATGAGAACTTGATTGAAAGCTAATTATGAAATGACGATTACTTGATTAGCTAGGTAACGTCCAAACTTCCTAGGAACCTCAGCACAAACTTCTGACCTCTCTTTTAGTGACCCCCAGGGAAGTCACAGACCCGGACCCCCCTCCCTCCAGCCTCCCGCTAAAATTAATAGGTCAGACAAGCTCCCTCTCCTTTATTTGCCAAATATTTACATCATCCAAAGTGGTGATGACGTGTCTGTTCGTGCCTTCGTCACCTCATAGTGGAGTTATTCCTTGTGGGTAAAACTTCCTGATGGGTTATGGGAGCGGGAGCCGAGTGTTCCCCCAGCAGCAGGTGGGCTCCGGGGCCGGGGCTGTGGGACGTGTCCCCGTTCCTCCGGGGGGAGGAGATGTCCCGACATCTTTGGCCTGACCCTCTCAGCATAGCGAGCTTCTCAGGGCTGCGCACACGGGTTTCAGACCAAACATGGTGCTGGACTTCTCCAGGTAGAGTCCCTGGGCTGAGAAGTTGTTGACCTGAGAACAGGGAGAAGGGGCGGCCGGCGGATATAGACACCCCAGCCTTTATGTTTCCTTTGCAACACGACCTACGAGTTGTAGCTTTATGTTACATCCAGCTGCCTTTTTAAAAATCTTTTCTTCTACTTTTCTTTGGGGTTTTTTTTTTGGGTGGGGAGAGGGTGCGGGGACGGAGGGACGGGGTGGCAGCGGGCTGCGCCAGGAGATGACAGCTGATTTGACAGAGTCCTCACACTCGGCAAGAGAAATTGCAAAGAAATATGGTCTTGTGAAAGTGGATGACAATTGGTAATTACTGGCAGGCAGCGAGTATCTTCCCCACAATGGGAAGGAAGCGGCTCGGAGCGCCGATCCCCCCTCCCTGGCACCGGGGCAGCTACATCTGCAGGAAAACGGCCTCGGGTGGCGTGGAAGGAAGGGGACGGGGGGGTTTCTTCCTCTAGGTACCTCCGCTGGAAGACCAGGGGGGCACTCTTGACGAGAGACCAACCTTTATTGTTTAGCCGCTCGTTATGTCGCATGTCAGAGGGGTTGCCATGAAACCACTCCCTTTTTTTTTGTTGTTTTTGTTTTTTTCTTCTGTGCCATTATTGGACTAAATATATTTTGGCTCCCGGGACTTCGCGAATTGTCTTCGGAGCGTGGGAACCTTGGCGTGTGCCCTCATCTCGGTCCCAGCCCCTTGGCACCAGTTTGGCTCCTTCTCCCCGGGTATCCCTCAGAAGGTTCCCAGCACCGCCACAGGGTTGCTTTTGCTGGGCTGAGGTCGCCCCCTCTCCCTCCGGCACTGGAGAGGGTGGAAGAACCCGTACTCCCACATCCACTCCCGCCCGTGGGTGTGGGGGGCACAGGGTGGGCAATGCCAGGCGGTCCCGGTGGTCCGGGCGAGCTCCATCCTCAAGGAGGACCTCAATCGGGTGCGCTCAGCCGGAGGAAAGTCTTATATCCCAGATGAGAAGATCTAAGTCCAGGCATGGGCAGATGGGAACTGCTGGAGTGCGGGTTAATTAGGGACCGACTCCGCTCCGCCTTTCCTGATGAACCACCAGTCCCAAAAGCAGCGCTTTAAGCTGATTCCAGAGTAAATAACGTCTTGGAAGTACAGTCAGCTGTCGCCTATGGAAGGATGGGATTTAGCCTTCAACAGGGCCACATATGTAACCGCTTATCTAAAAAAGACATAAAATACAATAAGCTTTGGAAAAATTCATGATTCAGCAAAAATGAAGGGAGTAATATACTTGCCCAGGGATGCAAGTTATCAGCTAGGCTGCATTTGGCTGGTGTTATGTTTAAAGCAAAATACTGTATAATTCCTATTTAGAGAATGTGTTCACGGTGCGGATAGAAAGGCATTAGTTCCATCTAACATGAAGAGTAGCAAATGTCTCTTGTTATTAAAGACAGCACGTTTTGGATATACCTGAGAAATGTACTCGAGGCGCTAGAAAGCGATTTCTAGAGCCCGGTTTTTACTGTGTTGGTGGTTTGTTGTTTGGGGTTTGTTTGGTTAGTTGTTGTTTTTTTTTTTTAACCAAATAAACTTTTAACAGAAATGCGTGTGCTTGGTGAAATGTAAAGCTAATTGGGGACCACGGGATCGTATGGCGGTATCGAGTAACTTTCTGCTGGGAGGTGGCCGGTACTGGGAGCACCCAGGGCATGGATGGAGGGCATTTAAGCAGCGCCGGGGGCTCAGCCCAAGCCAGCTGGCTCTTTCTGCCCGAAACTGATCGCAGATCCGTGCAGATGGTGCGTTGCTCCTCGTGGAGAGTGTCCCCAGGGCTGTCCCTGCGGGCTCCCACCCACGCGAGAGGGCGGCTCTCGCTGAGCCCGAGGTGGGACGCCCCCGGGGGTGGGAGAGGACTCATGGGAACCCCATCCCGGGGGCGCCCCGCTCCCCTCCTCCCCCCCCCGGCACGGCTCTTAGAGGAGGGATGAACATAAAGTGTCGCAAGGCGAGAGACACGCGTGTGGTCACGCACATCCCCGCCAGCCAGGGCGAGGGGACACGGGGCTGGTTTCAGGTGTGCGCGGCTGCCGCCTGCGTGGGTGCCTGCTACCCCACGGCCACGCACCCCCCTCCCTTCTCACACCCGCTGCCGGCAAGAGCCCTTCTCCGCGCCCGCGGAGCGGAGAGGCAGATGAACTGGGCCAAGGGAATGAAAACCACCCCAAAACGGAGCCCCGTCCGTGCTCGGGGGCTGGAAGGAGCGGTGGGGAGTCCCCCGCGGCAGCTCGGCGGGGTGGCCCGGTACAGGTGTGCCTCGGGGGGGGCTGCCGAGCCGCAGGCCAGCACCGGGAGGGTGCGGAAGGCCCAGCCCGGGCCTGCGGGTCGGTAGCCCAAGCTCCTTGCCCGGCGGCGGCGGTGGGCGAGCACCGGGAACGTCGCGGCAGCCCTGCAGCCGCCCAGCCTCCGGGAGGAGCCCGTGGGCCTGGGACAGCACTCGCGGGGGGGCTTCTCCCCCTCCTGCCCCCCTCTCCCCCACCTCCGACAGGGGTGGAGGGCTTTGCCAGACGTAGCGTGGTTTGGGGTTGTCTTTTGTTTGAGTTTTGGTTGTTTTTTTAGGTTTCCCCCCCCCTCTCCGCAGGGAAGATCTCCGCTCCTGGCTCAGGTGACTTCCAGCCCCACTGTCCCTTGAAGCCACCCTCCCCCCCACCAGCCCGGGGACCCCCCCTCTCTAGGAAGGGATTTCTGAAGCCAGCCGCGATTAGAGC